AGTGAGTGCTCAGGGCTGCAGGTGGTTTCGCACATGGATCCCTTTTTCTACCACAATTTGAGCAGTGGAGACATGATCTTAAACGTCCCATCATAAAAGGGCTAAAGTAAGCTCGGAGCGTTGCTTTTAATAGGAGAAAGGGCTCAGCTAATGATTTCCTTTCATCTCTGTTTGCTCAATGAAGGCCTTTTTTATTTCATCAATGTGAAAGTGAATGAAATCCTTTGTATCAATGCTGGTCGTTGCTATTCTGCAGTCCAGAAGGAGAGGCCTAGAAAACATCCCAATAAGGTTTCATGCAGACTACCATACGCTTGTTTTTTTCTATGATGTTGCTTGCCAATACTTAACACACAGAAAAACAACTGTGTTTTCTGTTTCACTCAATATGGCGATTGTGAGTTTATTCCAGATTGAATCTGTTCCTTCTTGTTCTATGATACTACGATCTAAGGCTTATTCTGAAGTATATTAGTTTGTCACTTTGTCATATCTGTTAAGATAGTGCCTTTACCCTGGGGCTGGTATCTACTGCTTGAATAAGCATGCTGAGATTTACAGTCCAAACAAACCCCGCTTCCATAGCGGAGTCGACGAAGACTCGCCAGGACATTCCTGACTCCTTCATGAAATAATGTTACTAATGATTCTAACAATGTCAGTGCGGATGGATTGTTGTCCGAGCCATGCGAGGTGAGTGGAAAGCTTTATAAAGACTTGGCCCCATTAGGTCAGGATCCAGAAAGCCCATTCAAGGTGCAAGTTTAGTTCGGTTTGATTTGGTGACACCTGTGGTTGCTGATGGTGATGCTAAGAATTTCATCACAAGACCATGTGTGGAGTTCATTCGCCATCAGCAAAGTCAGTCTAAAGAGTTTTAATCAGAAACACGCAACTTCTGTTTCTCAAGCAGTTGCATTTGAACACATCTCTCTTCAAAATACCTGGGACGGACTGTTCTGCTCCTCCAGAGAATGTCATCATGTAATTTATGACCAATGTGCACGCATCCTCCCCTGTAAATCTCTCGTGTGTTTTGGTACAAGCAGAATCCAAGACGAAAATGGCGGACTGGGCCACTGAGGATGCAAACAACTAAAGAGGGAGACACTGGTATTTGTTGAGCTGAGTGTTAATGTATACAGCAGCCATGAGTAGCATCAGCAGGAATACTAAAGCGTCATAGAGGAGACATGGCTCATCTGAAGTATTAAATGACCTGATGGTTAATACAGGTGTGGTCTGAACTTGTATATCCCATTTGTAAATTCAACCAGTTACTAAGTGACCATGTGGATGGACCGTTATAGGTACTACTGGAGTTACTTGTTGGGGTAGTGCAAAGACATCTTTTCAATAGTGGGAATGGTATGTGATTTTAAGAAAAAAAACAGAAAAAGATTGAGATGAGAAATTGAACTTAATCTTCAGGGTCTTGCACATACTCCTTCAGACCAACGTTATTGTATCCACTAGGTGTCAGGCCAACGTTATGCAAATTTCAGGAGTGAAAAATCATCCCCTGTGACTTCCAGGAGGAAGCTATCAAGGCTGAACTCACAGTCAGTCTGTAAACACAACAGATGCATAAACTGCTGACATTTTATTTCAGCTATTTTTAGGCCGGCTCGACACAATATCTTCTAAAAATACACCCACAGAAAAATGAAGCTGTTCTTTGACCGGTTGTTTTCTTTAATGCTGCAAACAACACACTTGTGGTGTGAAATTTAAAATGGCTTTACTCAGACACAGATGAAAGAACAATTGAAACACACAGTGAGAGTCGTGTAATAACCTCTTGATCCTTGAACTGTAGTGCAAAGAGATCCAACGCCAGGCAACACAGAGAGCAGCAACCAACAGAGTTGAGCATAGATGGGGGCTGCAGGTGAGGGTGGTGGTGGGGGGTTGTGTGTGGGGGGGAGGGGGTTGTTGAGCAGTAGCCCCACAAAGACAGAGAAAGAGGGAGAGTTGGGTTCTGTGCGTTCACACGTGCCCAGGGAGGGGTGAGGTCTTAAAGGGCTTACAGTTAGCCGCTTAAAATTCTTCTGATGTAAAACATGCAGGACATGATATTTGGAGAGGGGGGAGAAAAAGTGCTTTGTAGCAACAACAAAAAATGTGGAGGTGGAGGAGGAAATGCTTTTTGTTTACTCATCGCGCCCTCCCCTGTGTGCTCTCCCAGGTTCCTCTGTTGTTGGTATGGCGGCCATTCTGTCGTTCGCCGCTCTGCGATCTGACAGCCTCCCTTTACGCTTGCTCTGTAGTAGAGGCAGACTTTGGGGGTTAGTGGGTTGTGTGTGAATGGAGGGGGACCTTTGTGGATGAAGCCTGTGCCTTTATGTGTGCTATATGTCGCTACATGTGTGGGAGGGAGGCGATGTGTGTGTGTGTGTGTGTGTGTGTGTGTGTGTGTGTGTGTGCAGCAGATATTGATATTCCACTGGCAGCAGAAGCTGAAGCCAGTGTCTTTTAAGTGTCAGCCCTCAGCAGCCAGCCAGGTGTACCCGAGGTTCAGACGAGAGGGGGCAATTGAGGAAAGGGAGCGAACAACAGAGCCAGAGAGGGGAAAGAGAGAGACCATGAAAGACAGCAGAAATGACAGAAATGACAGCGAAGAGGAGCGCCACAGAGAGGAAGAGGAGGAGAGCAAATACACTGAGAGGGGATGAAGGGGTGAACACTTTAGCGGGGTTTCTGGAGGTGGAATTACTCTCGTGTCTTTGAAGGCCTCCGTGGTCGTCCTCAGCCTCTGTATTGTGTTCATCAGGCAGTGAGACGGAGAGGCAGACGGACGTGGTGGACGCAGGGACAGACAGTCAAAATGACTGAGCCAATGAGTGGTTTCAAGTTTCTTTAAAATTTGTTTTCTGCCCTTGTGTTTAAGACAGAAGCTAAACATTTTGTTTTTATAGCAAAGACAACAGCTTTCTTCTAAGGAAGCTTCTTGTGGAGAGGCAGAATTCACTTTCTTATCGCTGCTACAGTTATAACCAGGACTATTTTATTAAAGTGTAATGCAAACGGGTTCCAAAAAGCAACACCCGACTGCAGTTCCCTTCAGCCCAGTGGAGTGTTTTAGTGGATTTAGGTCAATTATATGTTTTTTACAGCCCCCATCCTTACTGTGCTGATTCACTACAATCATTTCTACCTGCACCTGGCAGTTGTTTTCAGCAAAATAAACTCTAAAACCAACCATGGATTATTTTCCTTGCACAACACAGCTGACAGACAGGTAGCCACTAGCAAGTGAGCATCGTGAAGCACTTAAAGAGAAAGATATCTTCCAAAGGAGTTAACAATCAAAACGTAGAAAGGGCTGAAAGGAGAGTGAATAGAGAACTAGCTTTGACGTGACTCAACGTTTAGGCCAATATGTAAATACGCTTTACAAATAGATTGGTTTTTTTAACTGTAGGGTTTAAACTGTAAACAGGCTTTGCCAGTTCTAATCTTTACTTCTCTGGGGATCTGGATGCTGCAGTTCACACTCACAACGTGCACATTGAAAACTACAAGCTGCCCAGTGCAACCAGCATCTCACCAGTCAGTCACTGAACTGTTGATGGGCTGAGGGCCTCGCTCAAGGGCCCCTCAGTGACAGGAAGCATTACCTTCTAATGTAGAGCTTCATTTTTCTTCTTGGAAAACATCTTAATTCCAACAGCTCAGGCCTCCATTTAAGATCTTATTGCGGTTCTCGCATTATGCTGAATTACCATCCGCTTCGTATCACCCATCGTTTCCTCCAGGTTCGTCTCGGCTTCACCACGTTATCATCATTGCTCTCCTTTTCTCGTGCCTCCCATGTCCCCTTGGAAACCCTGTTGTTACACTTCTCCTGTCCTCCCTCATTCCACCCGCGATCCCCACTCTTTCCTCCCCCTCATCGCCCTGCACACGTTTCCAAACACAGTCCATGTTAATGGAAAGTACTTGAGCGGCAGATAATTCAGCCCGGGCATGATGACTGTTCTGACCTTATCGAAGGATGGTGTTTTTTTGTCAAGGCAGATCCAGTCGGTGCCTGTGCATGGATTCACTTAAAAGGAACATCACAGGCTAATAACCTTAACTCTGATAAGGCTGTTTGGAGAAAACATTCCAATGAAGGAAGCGACGAAAGTACTTCGCAGCCTTGAATCGGTTTTGGACACACGTATCTTTTTTCTGAAATTGGCTGAATGTTGTTAACGGTAATGTTCTGGCTCATCCTTCACATGTGATAACAGCAGAAACTATTGCAAAACAATTCAAAGAAAGGCTCCTTTAACATTGTTGTGTTATTTTACAGTGGCGTGAAAAAGGCATTTGCCCCCTTCCTGGTTTCTTGTTATTTTCCATATTCGTCACACTTTAATGTTTCAGATCATCAAACACATTTCAAGCAATTACAAAATTCAGTTGTTTTTTGTGGGAAAGAGGTCTCTTGTTTACGAACATGTTTGCCTTGCCATTCAGTTCCTTTCCTCCATTAGATGTGATTTATACTTTACAAATTATTTTCAAACAGAAGGAACATTGTTTAAATGGGCGATGTCACAGACACAAGGTTTATTGGTTGGGATTTCTAGTTTAAACTCTTACACAATGAAACAATTAGTTGCCTATTTTTGTTACTAAGGGCAAATATGAAACAAATCTTCTTTCCTTCTGTCAAAATTCAACTTCACGACATCCATGCAATACTACGTGCTGCGTTGCTCTGGGGCTCCTGCGTGGGCGTCCACCTGTTGCGTCAGTGGTCGGTGAAGGGATGACACCTCCCCATTGCTGCCAAAATTAATGACCATTGTCCGTCTTCAAGGTTAATAGAAAAACATAGTGACGCTGGTCCGCTCTAACTTCTCCCCTATTAAAAATGACTAAATGTGAGCATCGGGGCGTCGAGGATTATTAAAAACAATCAGTCAGTCGGATTGCAGCTCCAAACTCTGAGCGCACTGCTGCCAGCCTCAAGCTGGATGTGTCTCTGTGGAGCCCCTGATATTGAATAAAGACGTGTCACACAGAAAATAGCTGTGCTTTAATATGCAGCAGCAGTACAAACGTCTCTTCTCCCTGAAGGCATTAGATTTGAGCGTGCCACATCCCCTTGTTCAATGGCCTGGTCTACATGGAAACAGTCCAACGGGGATGAGAGGAGGCTTGTCACTGGATTGTAGGGAAGGTGATCCAGAGTCAGGCTTTGTATTTTGTGTCTCTAGTCGAACATCGTCTGCTGTTTTCATGCAAGTGTTATCAGCAACGCAAACGTGTGAAGTTTTGTCCAAATATTTTAATCCCAGTCTCCGAGTTAACTGCAAGAAAATTAAAATATCCGGTTTGAGGCACGCAGGCGGACCCAAAAGCTGAGCGCCTTCTGAGGTAGACTGTTGTGGTTTAAATAACAGACAGGGGGAGAACTTAAATACCCAAGGACCAGAGCGAGATAACGAGGGAGAGGTGACATCAGGGCGGAAGCAACAGGTGAAAGAATCAAGCGGGAATCAAACAGGTGAAAGAATCAAGCGGGAATCAAACCAAGGCAACATGCAGCGATACAAGAGGAGAGACTTTAGCGAATAAAAACTACATGGATGTTCAATATGACACCTCTCTCGCTAAAAATCTCTACCGGTTCACGTTTTCAACCCACAGCAGTGCTTTCTTTGTTTCCACCAGCCAGTTAATTGCATTGTCTTTGTGTCCCAGGCCCAAAGCAGTCCTTCGTTAGCTGGGCAAAATGAAAGACCAGTGTGATACAAACAGTAACTGACTCTCCCTCGCTGACGTCTCTTTTTCTCCCAACCTTTAATCCTGTGACCAGCGGCACTATGGCTCCCGCTCCGCCACGTGCACAGTTTTCCCGGTGAGGATGAAAGTGCCTGCAGGGGGCCATGCAAATCCCCTATTGAACCCCACCGGAGATCCCCATAGAGATGCTGGGCATGAGCCTGCCCCGGGGTTTTTCTCCCAGCGACGGTGCAACACCTCTGTGAGTAATTATTGCGCTGGTATGAAAGATCTTTGCCTTTCGCATGAATAAATTAAAGTAATTCCAGACCTGTTTGATTCACTTGATCTCACATGTGTGTTTACAGTCTCAGAGTAACATGCATGTTGTGGGTTCTTATGTTGCTTTCTCAAATTAATATTTCATCAATGCGAGGCATGATTTGATTCCAGTAACTGTTATGATAGTAATTTAAAATATTCATGCCATTTAGACTTGCGCAATGTGGCTGAGGAGGACGCTGAAAAAATCTGGAAAGTTGTGTCGCAGTGAATGACACATGTACTTTACATGCGGCACAAACATGTGACATGAAATACAAACGTGTTATCTGCTTTCTTGGCACCAATAACACCCCTCGGCTTACTGTTGTTGTTGTTGAGGAATTAGCTCATAACCTTGTGCACTGCAGGTCTCTGGCTCCTGTAATCTCTCCTGCAAACTCTGGTGCACATAATACCTTCATTCAGGACTCAATGGCATGTGCAACAATAGCACAAAGGAGAGTTTCATGAACATCTTTGACGCAAAATAGAAAATGCTCAGTATTTGGAAAAGATTCTCTCCATATACGATTTCATAATACGCCTGCATATTCTCTGGACGAGAACCTGCTCAAGATATTGTTTAGGCACATTGTTAATGACTGAGAGAATAAACACAACGTTGATGTAATCACACATCACATTCCCCTATTTAAATGCAGATTGTTTTCTTTCAATAAACACAACTGGGTAGAGTCAGTGTGGATTCTCTATGTTTCTAGTGATTCACTGAGAACTGGTTTTGGTAGTCAAACAAAAACAGATGCGTGGTGCCTGATAAAAATGAAAAAACTCCTGTCAACAAACAGTACGTTCCGTTTCCCCCCTCGGGCCCAAATGAAAACAAAAAATTCTGTCATAGACAAATGACTGAAATTACAGTCTAGTGGTTTAAATAAAAAGCGGAGACATGATTTAACAATTTCCTTTTCAATGAGCTGGTTCCTCAGACAAGCACCATTTTATCTGTTTGTGCACAGGGATACGTTCTGCTGCCTGTGTGTCACTTGTCCAAGCAGAGAGAGTGAACATTTCAAGTTTGATGGAGTGTCTGAACCGCCCACGGTACTCAAAAATTACCAAAACCCTTTAGGGACTACGCGTGTCATTTAAATATCTTGAACATTACAGGATTGTAAATGCACTTAACGCCTCTCAGAAATGAACTTGATGAGTTCCGCTCCCTCATCGTCTCCTCTCCCGCTGGGGTCTTTTAAAGCAGAATGTTACATGACACCTTTATTGTACACCAGGATTCGCACTCAAACTCGGCTTTCGTTGTGTGTGTCACTTTGTGAATACTTTCTCTGTTTTTCCCCCTGCACTGTCACTACCAGACCTGTAAATACTCCTCCTGACCTCGGATAACCCGACAGCACTCCGAGATAATCCCGGATGCCTCGCCGAGGAGAAGCTCCGCAGAGAAATCCGCTGGGAGAGAGTGACTGTTGGAAAATTCACACTGACTTCTTCTTTTTCTCCTTTATCTTTGTGACAGTGGGCCCAGAGAAAGGGACGGCCGAGCGGCGGGGTGTGTTGGCGCTGCGTGTTAAAGCGAGCCGCTGTGATCGTGAGTGGCAGGAGGGAGACAACGGAGAAGGAACGGGACGGCGGGGCCCTGTGACAAGAGCTGTAATGGTAATGCATGTCACGTTGATTAGGTCACGCCAAGAGAAGCTGGTCTCCCAGCATCTCCACTCGCCGCGCTCCCTCCGATTTTTACTTCTATCATTTGTTTGCTCCTTCTCCTTCTCTGTACTCCTCTTTTTACCATAATCTCTCTCTGTGAGATTGTGACTATTTTTCCCTCCACTCCTCTAGTCTTTCTACAGTGGACACTATCCAGCCTCCTGACGAGGCCTCCTGCCTGTATCCTGTGTGTGTGTGTGTGTGTGTGTGTGTGTGTGTGTGTGTGTGTGTGTGTGTGTGTGTGTGTAGTAGGGGCGTAGCTCCAAAAATGAGCTCCCCTGGACTCCCTGATTGCATTTCACCTCACCTGCTCACCTTCAATCTACTAATCACCCTGCAGTCTATCTACTCTGGTTCTTCATACGCTCATCGCCACATCATTATTTCAACCAACCCGGTAGTGACTTCGCTCGGTTGAAAATTATTTCAGAGACGTACGAATGACTGACTAAATATATTGCATCGAACAATGCAGCGAAAAATCCTTTATTGCTATTTACATGGATGAATGAAAATTAATTAGAAGTTTCTTTGCCAAATTCTTTGTATGCTTATGCATACATGGAATTTGACTCCAGCTACATGTGCTCTCTATTACAAAACACAGTACGTACACTTTAGAAGAAGAACATACAAAAATTATTAAGAAAAGGGCAAATACAATAAAAATAAAACAATGGAAAAAGGAGAAGTACTACAAGTCATTAAGAGGTAATAGTGCAATTAAGGTGCCGTCTGACTGAATCTATATGTAGTCTGTTGCTAACACACTCCCATCGGCACAGGATTATCTATTCATATTCATTAATGTGCTCTTCTTAATGTCACCCATATGCTTGCATCTCAGAAACATACATACAAACCATCTATTGCGTTGACTCTCACTGTGAAAATGTACCTACTTTCAGATTGTGCTTTGATATATATATATTTATTTATTTATCTGCAAAAAAACATAAGGGATTTACAAAAAACTAAATTGGTCATTATTTGAGTTTTTCAAAAAACAAAAAAGACCATGTTATTTCCGTAGTTTGTTTTAAGTTAAAGCGTCTATCAAAAGCTACACGGACGCGGGTGGCATTAGTCTGGGTGGGCGGCACCGAGGAGTCCAAGCCTATCGCTCTGTTGAGCTGCCCAGAGGAGCTTAGCGAGAAAGAAAACCGCGCTAATCATTACACGCAGCCCTTCCCTCTCCTCTGCCCCTTCCCCTCGGTGAAATAAGTCGGAGAGGGCTAGCCTGCATACTGATGCTGTGCTAAGCACTCTTAATTGAACTTGAGGCTTCTTAATGTGCTATCATTCAATTGTCTGTGTGCTCTCAGCTGCTCCTACCTCCTGTTTTATTTATTTATTTCATACATTTATCTCCACCTCCTCCGTTGCACGTCCGTTCAGCCTTTGGAGGAAGGTCTCTGTGTCAGATTTGTAGGTTGTGGGCATGGAGGGAAAGGGCATTGACTCTTAATGCAACAAAGGGAACAAAAGCGCTCACTTGGTGCCAGCTGGTAGTTGCATCATCAGCCAGGAAAGAAAAAAGAGGGAAAAGAAGAAGTTATTGGACTACATGGGGCAAGGTGACATCAATAGCATCCCAAGCAGGGGCACAAATTAGCCGGGCGAGGAGCGGCGCGGCAGGGGAGCCGACAGCTGGGGCCCCGCGCAATGCCACCAGGGGATTAGCGGGGTTTCAGGATCTGACACCGAGGGGATGAGCGTCATGGGCAGAATAAAGAGCAACCCGGGGATTAGAGAGCCTCCCGACACTCCACCAACACTCATGGAAGGCCCCGGGGGCTGTAGATATCATTAATGAATGGACTGAGAGAGACAGGTTAGGGAGAGGTGTGTTTTTTATTTTTTCCGCCTGACCCCCCTCTTCCAACGTTGCCACTGTGATTTTTAATGATCATACATCATCCCGTGTGGATCCATTAAAAGTCAATGAGCGGCTGCCTAAAGAGGCGAGCTGCGGGTGTTGGTTGTTCACACACGGCACACCAGACAGAGACGGCGGCCGCTGACTGGCGTACGTTCAGTTCACGCCACCCTCTGAAGATTCAACCTGAATTATTCATCCGAAAGTCGTGGTGAAAATGCCGAACATTTATTTGAGCGTCTGCACGCTCTCGGTGTGAGCACACTGGAACAACAAGATAGTGTTCGTCGTGGTGTGCGAGTGTGGGTGTGCTGCCGGGATACTTCTGGGTATCAACTTCTGCATTCAGATGCCGGGTGTTGGGGTGATTTCAGGGGCCACGTGTCTGTGTCCTGTTTTATAAAAAGGAAATTGCTTAGTATTCTCTCACAAGCCGACTGGACAGGCTCGGCTTCTATGCGCAACCGCTGCAGGGATTCGACACCAAATCGAATCCAGATTCCCAACCTTTGTTCCAGTAACTCACAAAACACCAGAGATGAGACAAACTCACGCCGTTAGCCTAATGGGATTTGGGAAAATTCCAAAAGTGAAAATATGCAGAATATCTTCACAATCTGTGGACTTAAAAATACCCACGTGGAGGCTGCTCCATTATAATGTCATTGCCTCGCAGCCAAATGGGATATCCTGAACAGGAAGGCACGGGGAGATAAGTCTGTCCGTTGTTTAGGAACATGGAGTTATCATCATCTTCTCTCTCTCTCTCTCTCTCTCTGTTTGTTTGCTCTAATGGCGTTTTTATCGTAACACAGTTAACTACTTATCAGCGGTACGCTGCTACAGATCAAGAGCATAACTGGATTTGCTGAAGGGGCAGAATGCTCTTTGATGAACTTGAGTCAAAGTTAAATAATAAAGTGAATTTGTGTCCATAATAAGACCTCGGCTCGCTCCTAAAGCGCTGTCTCAGTCACAGGATGGGTGTTTGTGGGTGGAAGTCTGTGTAGAATACTGCCTGCTCGTGTTTGTCAAACCACTAGAGATAGACATCAAGGGTCATGGACTGTGTTATATTAGGGGATTAAAAAAAAGATCCATCAAAGAGCCGTGGTGATTATTTTACTTTCTACAGGACGGACGTGACGCTGGAGTTGTTTTGGAGAGGAATTCTTTGGTGTGTGGGAGTCCCTCCCTCCCGCTGCACATGAACTGATCGAGTCCTGCTGTGTCAGGGGAGCCACACCTCGTCCTCGTGTACAGTCTCCCACCATTGTCCTTACAAATCCCCTGAGAAGGCTGTCTCTGTGTGGACGTGTGTATGTGTGTCCTTCCTTCTCTGCCTTCTAAGCAAACATTCAGTGAATAACCTGTTGTGATATGCCGGAGGAACAAAGAATATTAAGCTCTGTGTATGAAGTTGTTTTAATTTAACTGTACCTCTTGTATCACGATTGGTGTTACACAGGAGAGCCTTGTTGCAATCGTTGTACCGTTGCTGCGGCAGCTCCGAGCCAGGCGGAAAAAAAAAAGAAACCGCTTTGCAATATCAATAAAATATAGTTTTCTGTAATTGCAATGATGAAAGTGTAGGCGTTTTTTCTGAGGAGTTTTGATTCGAGAGGCACATAAAAAGGTGTATAAATGGGTTGCTTCACAGCAGACGCTCGGACTCAGCAAGACAGTGCAATGTCTGCAACAATCTCACATTTGGATAGCAATCATCGGCTACAGCATTTCTGATTGATGTGAGCGTGCGTGTGTTTGAATTGTGTGTCCACACATAATCGTGCACACAAGGAAGGGGGGTGGGTGGGCGGGTCGTGATACATCTTCGTAATTAGTCTCATAATTATAAGGCAATAAACTGCAGCACACATGGGAGACTGATCCATCTCTGGGATTCTGCAATTACCCTGCTAAGATGTGTTGCTGTGACAAATCTCCAGAAGCAAAGTGAAGCTCTGCAGCTTCCCGCTTGAAACAACAATCAGAACGCACGCTTAGTTCAGGGTTGTGTTTACAAATCTATGTGCCAAGTACAAATGTGTCAAATCGAAGGGTTGGCACGCAGCGTTTGGCCCGTTTCTCACGGAGTGGTGGTGCAGCCACATTATTCTCCCGTAAAGCATCAGCCTCATTTGATTTTAAATTCCAGGCCACCTCTCTCTGTACATTTTTTTTTTCTTTCCCAAAAGGCCGTCTAGACAGAAATCACCAGCCCTGAAATGCTGATGTAAAACAGCTCGTGTTTGAGCCTTCGTCAACTGATTGAGTTGAAATTGGCTTTGCCTCCATTAGCCTCAACAAAGGCTTTCATTAGCAGCTAACATCTAACCTGCAGGGCGGGACCTCTAACACCCCACGACCCGCCACGCGCACACACACACGCACATACAATGTTATCGCTGTTTCTCCTGCTCACACCCTCTGACACTTTCATTTTCATGTCTTGGATTAACTCGGCAGGATGTTTCGTTCGCCGCTGAGCTCACCTGCTTTCAGACGCCCACAAAGGATGACGGGATGCTCCTCAGCAGGAAACGGAAATCAGGGCCCAGGCTGGTGAGGTTTTGTGACGTCAGCATGGCGGTGGGCGTTATATCCGATATGCGTGAAAGTCCCCTCCCCCGTATTTGCACAGCGGAGAAACATGAACATGTTCTTCAAACATACGAAATGCCAAGTTGCGTAACCCAGTTCAAACGACGTGTAGACATTTTCCTTTCTGCTTCAGCAGTCACAGCCTGAACATGGACCAGCCATCCTCTTGCAGAATGATGGATCAGTGGTTCAATGCTTAACTCTGCCTTTCTGTTTGCTTTGGTACTGCAGTGTGTGTCTCTGGACAGGAACTAGTCCTGTTTAATCAACGGTTAAGCACATTTGAAATCTGCCAGTAATCTTCCAGTCGTGCATTAGCTTTGCATAAAGACTGGAAACGGGGAGACAACAGCTACGCTGGCCACGTCGGAAGGTTATAAAAACGCCTCCTGACAATCAGCTGTTTCCCTGTTTATATTTGGCGTACAGACAGGAAAGCCAAACACCTCATTTCTTCAGGCTGCTGTGGACTTCTCCAGAGGCTGGATAATGACCATGACTCTCATGTCAGTCGTGTTTTTCGTAACAGTTCTTGCTCCACTACTTCTCTTTCTGAGTGACGTGCAGGAGGAACAGATCTAATAGCTGCAATTCAATAGATACAACGAACAGCAGTTAGCACAAAAGGCAGATGTAATCAAAGTTTGAGTCATGGGTTAGGGTTAGTCACCGTGTGTCAACCGAAACTACTTAAAATATGAATATATTTACAAACAACTACTTGAAACATAGAATATGAGCAAAAAGGCATAAAAGGAAAGAGTGAGTCCAGGACGAATGGTTCAGCAAAACTACTCACCTGATTTCTTAAACTATTAATATTGGTGAAGAGCATAAGAACAAGCTGCTCCGTGTGGAATTTAAATTAAAGAGCGAGAACGAAGATAAGCTCTAATTTGATCGAGGGTCAATTATTGATTTACCAAAAAGAAAATGCTACTGTCGGGGGATTATGACTCTTGCTGCCAGGTGCAGCAAACTCTTATCAAAAACCTGACACTTTTACAAAACTCTGGGACTACTTTACTAATGTAAATAACACAAAACATATGTGTGCATGATTGTATATGTATACATTGTCTGTGATGACTGAGGATAACTGAGGAGGATGACTGAGGATAAGGCGAACGCTGACAGCTATTGAATCAGCCATAAATAATAGCGGTGACACACAGGTCAGAGGGCTTGAAGGCAACAAATCTCAGTCACATCTCAGTTGAAGTATAAGGGGTTTAATAACCACCGTGATCTCTGTTCTCATTCTCTCTGCCAGGTTTTAACTCAAGCCTCCCGCCCCTCTTTTCCTTTCTTTTATCCGTTCATTCATGCATGCATCACCATCCAGAGACACAGGGTCGGTTTATTGAAGCTTCCCGCAGGCCCTATCTTGGTGTCTGGCTCTGCTTTTGTAAACCAGACAGCCCATGCTGACCGAACACGACAGCTCGAACTGCAAACGAGGGGCCGACTCAAAGTTCTGACGTGCTCAAATGATACGCTCCTACTCTCGTCCCAACGATCAAACCAAAGACATTCTCAGATTGTCTCACAAAGCCAGCCTTGCACGGGATGTCTTGTCGTTTCTTCGCCCGGCCTGACTTGCTTCGTTGGTATCCACGTTACTTTCGTTATTTCCTTAAAGAAATTCACAATTTCTTAATTTATTCAAACCCAAGCTCAGCACTTCCCCATTCCAAGCTGTTAACTGTGGCTTTCACAATCCGCTCCATCCTACCAAACCACATGTGTCAAGGACAGTGAAAGAAACCGCAGAAGGAAGGAAGTTACGTTGTGTGTCTGCATGGTAGCACACAAGCTACATTTAATTGTGCAGTTGAAAAGTAGCAGGTGCAGCACAAGTAGTGCAAAAGTAGGTTATGAGAATGTTGTAGAATGCTATGGAACTGGGAAGAAGTGGACTTGAAATGGAAAGAAATGGAGAAAACAAACAGCCATCCCACACAAGAAAGAATCACAGTCCAAAACCTACAGCAAACAGTTCAATCCGAGTCCAACAGCGAGCCCCATATAATGATCAACCAAATGTAGGTGGATGCTGCAGAAAGTAAAGTTTACAATGTGGAAGAAAGAAAAAAAGGTTGCGCCAGTTGCAGCGCTGTGGATCAATAATGGCTCATGAATGCAGTGCAGTTCATTTTGGAGTCTCATTACGCTCTCTAATTTCACAGGAAATGGAACTCTCTCTCCAAACACAAGCATAAACATGACTCAGGTGAGTGGGCAGTGAAATAAAGCATGACGAACAAAAACCCTGCAGCACGCTAACCCCGTGTGCATCGGGTGTCTCTTTAGCTGAGGGCACAAGTTCATGTTTATTTTTTGCAGTTAACCGATGAAACGACCGGTGAGTAGTAGAGGACGGCTCTGCTGTTAATCAGAAGTGCCACAATGTGGATAAAAAAAAATAACGGTTCTATCCATCTTTCTTCAATCTTATCTTAGTGTACTCTCTTTCCCAACGGCCATTGATAATCATTGTCTTTGTTGCTTGAAGAGGAATCCTATTGGCGAAAACCTCGTAGATGCTGTTGGATTAGCAAATCAAGCTGATAATCTGTTCAAATCCCCAAGGTGAGATTCATATTCTAAGTAGCTGTGCACGTAGCCTGCAATGGTCATGTTGCTCATACTAACCCTCTTTCAGGTCCCCGTCGTTTGTCCCACATGGATAACAATCACTCGTTGGCTTTAGGCCACGTCCAAAAAACGTCAGCATACACCCCCCACTTCCTGTCGGCCTGTCGGATAGAATCTCCTCTGAAGTTCAGACTTGTTTGCGTGTGGGAAGTCGTTGTTCCATAATGACATTTTGTAAACACGGGATGGGTTCGCTTTAGGCTCTGGCTTGTCCCCAACCTCTCCAACGTTGCCAGTTCTGCCTGAAGGCTGTGGGCTTTCCTCCAATCCACCACAAGAAACCCGACAGACTCACCGGCCAAGAGGCTGACGTGAGTGCGCCGATATGTCGAACCCAAAGCCTCCCCTGGTTTCGCCGGAAAAAAAAGACATCTCCCACTCTGGCGAGTCGCATCTAATCGAGTTTGGCTGCAGAACCCACCGGTGGGCTTTTTCCTTGAGGCGCTGGAGCTTAATCAGGAATGCACCGACTCAGGCTTCTCAGGCTACTGGACTGAATCTGATACGAGCTAAATAAAAGATAACCTGTGGAGTTTTCCACATTGGTTCAGTTTCTCTCTGTTCTGCTGATCAACAGTTGATGTCGCTTTGGATAAAAGCGTCAGCTAAATGACATGTAATGTAATGTATGTTAACACAGTCTGTTAAAAACGGCAGTGAAGGAGACAACTGCAAATGTTTTATGAGGAAAAATACATTCGACAGGTATGCGGGGCCTCAGAGGAACACACTTGGTATTTTGGTGAGCAACACTAAAAGCAAACAGAGGCTTTGTGCTCATGAAACTCCACAGGGCAGCTGTGAGAGGTGACTAACAGACGAGCTGCACAATAAAACCTTACTCAGATTTATATGAATTCAACTCACAGCTTGATGCCTTTTTTCTTTCTTCTCCGTGTTATTGTATATCAGTTTTTTTTATAGCTCAGGAAATCACAGAAAGCGCACAAACCTGTTGAGAGACAACTAAATTGAATAATGCTTTGTCTCAACTAATGAAAAATGTGAGTTAATATTCACTATTACTTTACGCAAATCTACTGGCAGCTGCTTTAACATTATGAAATGTGAAAAATGCTCTTTGGATTGTGTTGCTGCTGAACTGTGGATTGAATATCATAAATGTGCCTCCCATTCACACACTATTTAGATGTCATCACTGTGGTGGACCTTGGAGGATTGAAGAAATGCTAATGTATCCGGCAGCTCTTCTTTGGGTCCAGTGGGACCTCACCTGCAGCAAAATGACGAGAGTATTATCTCCATGCAAATATTACCAGAGGAAGGTAAACAGGAAATGTATCTCATGGCTGGCTATGGGCGAGTCATCAGCTTCCTCTGAAACACAGAAGAGGAAAAGCAAGATACCTCACAGTTCAAAACGACCTCAGAGCCTGCTGTAATTTCCGTTGCAGCCTCCGTATGTGAAAGTACTGTTAAGTGTTTCGCCGGCTTTTGTTGTAACGCCATTTAAAATGTCATCGATACATCAATTTTGCATCTGTTACGTGCTGCAATCAGATATATTATTCCTGGCCTGTTTCTTTGTCACAATGTTAATCTTATTAAGTTATATAAAGTGGAATTTGATAACATACTGTATATATTATCCATTCTCATGCTGTGGATAGGATGTAATTTGGCAGACAAAAAAGAAAAAGAAAGTTCCTTTAACCAAAATGTAATTCAATGCTGTAACTGGAGGAGGAGAGAAAGGCAAACGTGGTCGAGGATCATTATTAGCCTGCGGCTAAACTATCAAAAATGACTTTATCTACAGTCAGCAGAGATGTAAACAAAGCTAAATTTCCAGAACTCAACAGCTCAACTTAACATAAGTTAACAAACGTGATGTTTAAGTGGTTTGGGGAGCTGCTGCTGGCAGGCAAACGTTTAGTTCAGAGCTGGCAGCATCCAATGCTTTAACTGTCGGGCAGCCAACCCTCTCCACCCCACAACAAACAGAAAGCTGGGATCTCACTGGTTGAGCTGTGGCCCCTCGGGGCTGTGAAGTAGTGCTGTTGCTGCTCTCAGAGTCGGTGTAGTGAAACAAAAGGCTTAATAAGAGGTTTTCATTATATAGAAACTTCTTTAAGATGACAGATTTGACCACATTTATTAACATTCTACGTGCAAAATCATTTTAGATGTTAAAGTTGCAACCATTTTTTTTCCAGAAAAGAAAAACTTAACCTTTCAAATATATATTTATTTTCATATTCCTTTATACAAACACCTTTTTCTTTTTCAAAAAAATAAACTGTTGAAATGGGTGAATCAGTCAACGTGCAGTCGTACATGTGGGTAAAGCTGATGATTGGATGTAAAACGACAATGAAAGCTTTGCTCAAGTATTCGTCTCTCGTTCAATCGGTCCCGATCCCCATCACCTGAGTTGTACGGGAGCAGGTCGCTTTCAGCACCCTCGTCTGGCACAAGTACGGAGAAGTGTGTGCAATGATTCATTGGATTAGAAGGTTAATTATTGTAATTCTATTCTGATTTCATCCCCAGACGATTGGACTGCAGGTGCAGCGCCAAAGCAAATATATCCATCATAACAAGTCAATCTCGAGGTTAAGTGCGTAAAAAATATTTTCTAAAGAGGAGGAGGGAAAACATTTGCCACTTCCAATTTGCCCCGAGGAAATCAAACTTTTGGGGATTTTTATTTTGACCCTTGTGATCCGCTTTGCTTATGCACGTGGGGGTCAAGCAAGTGTCACCCCGGATATCAGGGCCCTTCCTCTCATTGTGGAGGAACCAAATGTTACATGTATTACTCCTTGTTATGGTTGGGTTTGGTTTGGAGACGAATGCTCCCTCAGCAACACTATTTCTTTTTTTTCTTAAGAGAGCATCCAGTCAGTTGACAACGTGCTCCTCTTTGTCCTCGTGCGTCGCGTTCAAGTGGTTGGCCATCTCTTGCGTCACGGCACCTTTGCCAATCTGATCGTTCCTCCTCTTCTCCATGATCACGTCCTCCAGGCTCTGAAACTCCAGGACGTGACTCTTCTTCTCCGAAAAGAGCAACTTCAACCTGTACGGCTGCTTTCCTATCCTGATCTCCCCTCCGATTTTAAACTCCCGTTTGCCAAACCGGCACCAGGCGGCGAAGCACTCGGAGTTCCTCCAGTAGAGCTCTCGGTCTCTGGAGCCGACGTGGTCCACCGCGTTGCGCACGATCACCTCCGGCGGGAGCGCGCGGTACCTGTAGAGGCCGTTCACTATCCGGCCCTGCTTGCCCTGGCTCACATCGGTTAAGAAGTTGTTCTTGATCTCGGCCCTGTGCATGTGCACCACCTGGAAGTCCCCCACGTACACGGCCCAGTGGGGGTACTGCCCGGTGGCCAGGAACTCCAGCAGGTCCCCCGGCCGGCACTTGTTCAGGAGACTTTCCGCAGAGTGAGTCGCGGCCGCGGGGTTCGTCTCGAAGACGCACTCGTCTCGGTAGTAAATCGCGCACGGCAGCACGTCCTCGGGGTCGAAGGGCTTCTCCTCGTGGTTGGCCACGCGGGCGTCCGGCGAAAAGCGGTCCAAGTTGTCGTCCTGGTCGTCGTCGTCGTTGGAGAAAATGTAGGAGACGCCGATGCGCGGTCCGTCGTCGTCCGGGTCGAACCCATTTGGATCAGACGTCGGCACCTCTGCGTAATTCAAATGAGTTAGTTTCTCCACCTGGTTACCCATAAGGGTGACAGGTGGATGCTTCGGGGGGGGTGAGATGAACACAGGAACAGGATCCACCTGCGCTACGAGAGGCGGAAGGAAGGCGCGCGGTTGCGCCGCGTCTCGACTAAACCCAAAGCCGTGAAGACGCACACCAATAATCCATCCCCGGCCGTGGATGTTCCCCAAAGAACACCGACTGCGCCGCCCTCGTCCTGTACAGGAACAGAAAATACGAGGCTCATTAAGAAAAAAAGAATTCGAAGCACGAGCCGATCCGAAAGTTGAACGAACTATGCAGCCAATCCCAACAGGTGTGACCCGACACACCTGTTGGTTCACAGTTTCCACGCACTACTCACCGATTTAACCAGTGCTACGTCTACTTAACACACCGCCCAAGTGCTGTTTGACACCACCTTCTTCTCCACTCATGCTGCCGCGTCAGGTGTTTGTCCGCTGTACTCCGACGTGGGTCCGGTTCACCTGGAGTCCACCGCGAGAACTCTGCGGAGAGCAGACGGGCAGCTTCCTCGCGCTCCTGTCGGTTAAAAAGAAAAAGAAAAAAGAAACAACAGCCGGATTTCAGACGCTCCTTCCCGGGGTTCGGCTGCGTTTCACAGTCCGTGTGTCTGGAGGATGAACCGCCGCTGTAGTGTTGCAGTGAACAAGTGAGCCGAGACCGGAGGGCTGCGGGGAGGCGATCTCACTTAAAGGGACAGTGCGCCTTTATTTCCCCCGTTTGCGTGCTTCACACTTCAGAAACATCTCAACTAGGAGATACATAGATTATATTCTGATATATTAGGACATGTAATTATAATGCAGTAATGTCAAGGAGTTTGTCGAAGTAAAATTCTTCATTGTTGATCAATCATTCATTCATTGGAAGGATATGGTTTATTATGTTGTATGTGTTTAGTGGAGAGGATGAAAATAAAACAGAAATGCATATATGTTTTTTGTAACCTATAATACCAAGGTATGAGTTTCTGTAGAGATACATAATTAAAAACGACAACCTCAATATTAGATTACAATGAAATGGGGTTCACACACGCACACTGTGTCAACGTGATTTCAGTGCAGTGGTTTTCAAAGGGGATCATAACCATCAACAGTCCAAAACATCTGGACAATGCATCCATATCTTTGGATTAACAAAATGTGTTTTCATGTCATTCTTGAAAACAGGTGTAAGCGCCCCAAAACGTTTATAGCCTTTGGAATTATTTTCTTATTCCAAATTCAAAAATGTTATTCAGTAGCAATGCTCGCTTGACTTGAGGTTGCGTCATTAAGAAAAGATATATACTATCAAATATATAGATTTAGTATATAAAATATGCTTTCTGCACTATTTCGTTCTGCCTAAATTAAACGTATTCTAAGTTAACAGCAGAAATCTTAACTTGTCATTGTAGAAAGAACACAAAAGTTGCCAATTACCATCAACAATGTTTCTGACAGCAAGTCAACACGCTCCCTGAAGCCCAGACCGCTCAGTGAAAGTCAGCACTGCTTCTCTTTACAATGAACACCTGAGCTTTCAACCCGGTGACAACCAGCCGTTAAACACACTTCTGTGGGCTTTTGAACAGATGCATGTGAATGTCAGATCAAACAGAACAAAGCAAACGTCTATGGAGAATTGATGGGGTTGGTTGTTGCTGAATGTCTGTACAACATTGTGGTGGAGTTTCTGAGGACGTCTACAGCTCTGCCTTCTCTCCGAAGAGAGCTTAATGTCTCTGCCTGAGATGTGAACGCGACTCTCCACAAATGGAACTGTTGTTGTTAAATTACCTGTGACTTCACATGTTGTGCAGTAAACACAATTAGCTTTGGCAGAGTGTTTATTCCAAAGGAAGGTGAGTGGAGACGTGAATGAATCAGCACTCTGGATCATTTGTTGCCGGTTAATATCTTCATGGGCTAAATGCTCTTAGCGCTGCGTGACGTACGCCTGAGCAATTAAGACGTTTTTTTGAAAATGCGTGATGTAAGGTTATTAAAAGATTAGCTTCACCTAGTTTTATCTCAACAGCCTTTTGTTTGTTTCTTCCATGAACAAAGAACCTTTACAAGGAACGGGAGCGTGATGGATGGAGAGACTTAATCACATAAGCGCAAAGTGCATTCCTGCAGATGTGTGAGAATGTTTGGTTTATGGCTCATTTGAAAAACGATTTTCTTTGAGGGAATTGATTTAGTGTCTCTAAAATCCGACTTTAGTTTTTACTTCAATTATGATATACTGTTATTTTAAGGATGATGAAGCATCACATTCAGATTTCAACATTTACAATTTGAATAGATGTTGAATGACCTGAAGACTAATCACTTTCTGTAGTAGCTCAACTCAGAGACCCTTCAATTATATCTGGAGCTGAGAGTTTATAATACAGAGATGGAACATGACTTAGTTTAGCATGTAATGCGTGTCCTCATGCAGACACTGCTCTCTTGTGGTTTGATCAACTTACTGCACAGTGTGAAGATGGTCTGCAGCTTTTATTTACATACAACAAGAGTACAAAAAAAGCTTAAATCACTTATTAAATTATAAATTCCAGAAAAAGGAGTTTAGGTACAAAGATCCGAAAAGAACATTTTCAATTCTCACCAACACCAGCAATATTTAGTTGGTTTCATCTGAATACCGATGAAAATAATTGCCTTAGAAATAAGGTGAACAACATATTCCGTCTTAAAATACAATTTCTTCATGGCACAGGTTCTTTTATGAACAATTCTGTCCCCTGAAAAGAAAACAGCACTACATGGGGTTGCTGTGTCTCTTTTGGCTCTGGATCCTTCTCCTCAGGATCTGGTCGGGAATCAGATCCGACTGTTTCACGTCTGCGTTCCCACAGCCCACCACAGGGCAGCTAGAGGGCAGACAGATCGTTTTAAAGGCTTTCTGAGCACAGAAACACAATATACACCAAGTCACACAAACGTCAGCCAGCGCAAGATAAAAACATCTCTGTGATGACGTTCAGGGAGAATGAGGATAAAGTTACAAGCACAACAGCATTTACATACAACTGAATCCCAAAACGGCCCCTCTGAGCATTGCTGCTATAAATGTGCATGTGAGGTGTGTGTGTGTGTGTGTGTGTGTGTGTTGACCACAGTCAAGACAATAGCATGTGTCTTCGACAACAACATAAGCCGGCACCGGGGTTTCAGAATTCCTTTAGGAGTAGCCACATTTAAATGAATTCCAACATCAAAGCAGCACAATAAAGAAGATATGAATGAAGGCAGACCGCACGCAGAGTTGTTGAAACCCGACTCAACTTCCTAACAACGAGGGAGAGCGTCTTACCGGCACTTCTTTTTCTGCTTTTGTTTGGTTTTGATGAGGCTCATTATGGCGTCTTCATCATAGTGGTGGTTACACTTCTTGTTCTTCATCGGCTTCACCATTTCCACCTTCAGCACAGAGTCCCAGGGGTTATAATCACATGAAAATGTTTGGAAACAAGAGAAATCCTTCCACTGGAATATTTAAATTGGTAAAGTAACAGAGTAGCCGGCTGGAGTGGTCTACCTGTGTGAGTGGGCAGGTGAAGTTGACTTGGCTCTGCGTGACACGGATGTCTTCATCCTCCTCTGTGGTCTCCGCTGACTCTTGGTTGGCTGAAAACACACACGTTGTTGACAGTGAGCTTCCAAATATCCACTCACAGCTATAAGTGATGTACTGGATCCATGGTAAGGTGGCAGGAGATAGATTTGGCTGGAACTATATTTATGGAATGAAGAAACATATCCCACCTAAGTGGTAATAAATTCAGGGCAGATTCGGAATCCAATCAAATGCTAAACACACACACACACACACTTTACCTCCAATCACAGGCTCTTACTTTGGTGTAAGACGTATACATTTCCAGTAGCACACATAACCTAAAAGATGTATGTATGCGTGTAAGACAAACACACACAAACATCCCATCTGCTCACGCAGGCACAGATATCCAACACACCCAGACACACACATGAAGCAATCCCCCCCCCATTATTTCCATAGGACACTTGGTGATTGGGCCCTCTTTCAGTGAACAAACATGATGGTTAATGGGTCAGGGCTTCACAGAACTCAGAACAATATGTTGACACTATATTTATCTCATATAATCAGACATGGCAAAGTATGTTTTCTCCCACAATGGAACTATTGGGAATAAGCCAGACGGGGGAAATCACATTGTTATAGACAACCTCAGCATTTGGCCTTGTTTCAGTCTGGCTATGTTTATAATAAGCGGTATAATAAGAACAACAATTAAAAAGCCGGAAAACTACAGCTACAGGGGGACAGGAAAAGTTCATTAATCAACAGTGAACAAAGGGATTTGTACGTTAAGATTTCACTTAATGCAAAATAAAAAAAGGACATATACCAAGATTTCCCTCTGCTTAGCTGAGAAACCCTCATGTCAGCGCGGCTATGATCAGTCTGATATTCGCTGCATACATGCAGATTATGTCTCCTATCGTTCCGGGCCGTACCTTGGTTGACAGAGTTCTTGATGCTTTCCTTGAAGGCCACTACCTTCTGGTGATTGTGCAGCTCGGCGTCAGAGAGTGTGGCCAATTTCTCTGTGAACTGCTCCCTCACTTTGGCAGACAGGTCGACCATGGTCTCAGGCTGCTGTGTGCTGACCTACAGAAACCAGATTACAATTAGTTGACTTCAGTGTTTTCCCTGACATCTAAAACTAAAACCCTGACATTAAGAACCTGCCACTCGAAAGCAACCTGCATGGACACGGTGCAGCCAGAGCTCGTCTATGTGCACTTTTCGTACATCCGGACCCTCATCCCAGTAATGGATCTCGAAGCTGAGCCTTTAATTTAATATAATGGGAAAGCTTGTTTTCCATTTATGTGTTTAGAGGCTCAGTGTGTCTCACCTCTGCAGTGACTTGTTGCACAATGTCAACAAAGCAGTTTATTTCTCTGTCCAGTTTGGCACACTCCAGAACCATGGCCTCAATCTCCTTGATGCCTGCAATCCCCCCTTCATCTGTAACCAGATCATTTACTAGAAACGTGGCATCAGTACGCGTGTATTAGCAACAGGTTTATCAAACGTGGATATACTTTAGAAGATTGGCACATGCAAATGTGCTATAATACAGGTTTATTATTATTGATTGATGCATTAACATGTGTCGTAGCTGGTCCACGGGAAGGTAAATGTAACTACTTACAACAGTTGGTTTGATCTATACTGATGCATCCCATCGTCTAACCTCATTATGGGTTGCGTTTGTAAATGTAACGTCAGTGGGTTCAAAATTACATGAACTTCATCTGAAACTGTTATGGGGCAGTTAGCATCAAATGGAATAGTAACGTAACGTTAAGTAACGTACACTTTCTCAAAAGTACGGTCACTTTATGTACTTTTCATTTGCACGGCTGGAAACAAAGTTAATCAATCAAAAATACATGTTGGGGGTCAGTAGGCCATTATTAACGTTAAGGTAAACTCATGCGACCGTGTGTGATCGTTACCCTGCGCCTCCGCCAGGTCCAAAGCAACATCTGTCACTATCTCCATTCCTGTCCCGATGTCGGCCTGACATAACTTCAGATTAGACAGCGCTCCGTGAACGCCGCTAAGAGACATCGACACTTTTTGTCCACCGAGACAACGGACGAACTACTGGCAACCCAAAGTTAAGCTACGTTACGTTAGCCTAGCTTGCTAACGTTTACGTTACGTCCCTGCTTCCGGTCTGCTAAACCTAGCTAGCAGACGTTAATTGACGAGCTAACCGCTACGTCCTGAATGAATGTAAAGTAACGATGTCTTCTTGGTGACAGTTTGTGTTACAATAGCTTCTTGCAAAAGATAACTAAAAGGGGGAATGCATGAAAAACAACCCCGCGAAAAACGACAACAGAAGCTAACGCTAAGACCTGACTTCAAAGCTCGTTGTCCTTTTCAAAATAAAAGCCTTGACCAAACGAAAGAGAAACAACACAATACATAATGAACAGTCGTATTTATTACTAATATTACATTATTTAGAAATGGCACAACATGATGATACAAACGTAGGCTATTTAAAATGTGTAGATATGGTAAATTATATATATATATTACAACACACACACACACACACACACACACACACACTATATTATAAGTGCATTAAGACATTAATGGTCAATGAAATCAAGTAATCATGTAAGCAAACCATCATTTTTTTATGGTAAACATTGAAGCACAGTCTGTACATAATTAAATGAATAAAGACATAACTTTGTTTCGCTGCTTCACTTTTAGGGTCAAAATATTGTCCATGCCGGCTCAGTCACACTGTGATGGCTTACTGGCACACATGACGCAATTGTTAATGTTATTAGTAACACACCTATGCTTTTCCTAATGTGACAAGTCAAAATGTCTGCCCTGTAAAAAAAAAAAGAACTATGGCAACAAAAGCAAAATGATGAAACGCTTCTTCCAGATCTTCACAGTATTGTTCTGAACTCATCAAAAATGAAACTGGGCACATGGGCTTCGGCCACCTTAAGAATACAGAAAAGAAGTAGAATGTTACTGACCTACAGTACGTAAAAATGCTCAAAACACGTCTACTCTTATTCAGGGCACGGTGCTTAATACTAAACTGTTTCTCACAGCTTAAAGGTATTACACAGTACAATATAAAAATACATCTGTTAAACATTAAAGGGTAGAATCATCAGAAATCAAAGCTACCCCCTGTTGATGTTAATTGATGTAATTTAACACATTTTGACAACCCTACTAGACATAGTACAGTCAAAGTTGGCCTACCTTGCGGGACAGTTTGGTGTACTTCACATAGTCTTCCAGGAACATCAGAGCTCCCACCACATCAGAAGGCATGTCAGGAATCTTTTGACTAAGGGGTCAAATGCAAACTCGAACGTGAGTTTCATAAAGCCATAACAGGATGAGATTTCTTAAAAGTAAAAAGTATGATCAAGCAAACAGACGCAATGTTTTAAACCACCCACAGAAACAAATTCTGTCAAGTCTGTTTTGTTACCTGGTGCACTGCTCCATGATTGAGCGGATGAACTGTCCAATGAGGGACAAGAACTGTTGTGTGTATCTTGAGTGAAACTGCTTGAGCAGGGTGAGCATGCCGAGCACCAGCGGAGGCCCGTTCACCGGATCCGTGGCTTTTTTGCAGGTCATTCCTGGGAAGAATTGAGAGGACATTTACATGATTTAGGGGTTACCAAGTAGGCCTTTCAGACTGTAAAATGCACCACACCATTTATTTACTATTATAACAAGAATCTGGTGTGCTAACAACCTCAATGAAAAATGACATTCAAACTGTAAGAGAGAGAGGTTCGACCAGTGGCCCTCCTAACAGCACTACTTAATAACTCGACAACCACAGTATGATAAAAGCTGTAATATAGTAAACAGTAGGAAAGAAACGTGCCTTGGTTTTTGTTGTACTGAAGTTTAGGCAGCTGAGCGATGACAAACAGGAAGTTGATGATGGGAAAGTACGGCAGGCGCTTTGTGGTGATGTAGATCTGTGAGAAACACAGATGGAGGGTTCTTAAAAAAAAGAACTATAATTATTTGTGGAACATTAATAACATCATTTGGGAACCAACACCCGTCATCTGCACACCTTGTTGAGTGGGTTGTGAATGCCGGCGGCCTCCAGGTGGGCAGTGATATCGTACAGAAGAGTGTTGTCCTCTTTGGGGTAAGGCAGGGATGGATCCTGGTAGTGGGCTTCAATGTCGGCCAGCAGAGACCTGGAAAAGGAACAGTAACAGTTGATGTAGGATAGATGAAGGTATTCAACACATGTAGTAGTACTTCTGCTTACATTCATGTTTTTTTGTCTTAAATCTAACAGTTATTGATATATTACTAGTACTTTGCATAAAAATGGTTGGAATAAAGTTGTGAGACTGACTTGTTGAGGTTTTCCAGGGCAGCAGCCAGGTGTTTGGAGTCAAACTTGCAGGAGTAGTTTAGCTCATTAGCAATCTGCTGTCTGAGAATCTGCATCTGACCAACCTACAAGAAAGCAACATTTGCATATGGAGTGGCATGAAAATACGGGATGAACATGTAAATGAGAGAAATAAATAAGTAATTTCTATCCACACCATTAGGGAATACCATGGCCCAGTACCTTCATGATGGCCTCCAGGTATGCACCCCAGATCTTCTGGGTTTTGGCCACAGCGTTAGCGTACACTTTGCTGCTATTACCTGTTGCACAAAAAAAAAAAATCTCCTTAAAAGGGAAAACGATGCTGGCCTGTTGAAGGATTTCATAAGCGAATACCTACCCACAATACCCTGGATTGGGTTGACAGCACCCAGCATGGCTTTGAAAACATCCACCACAGCTTTGTCCTTCAGGATTGTCCTCTGAATCCATATCAGGAAGTTCTAACGGGAGAAACACGTTGTTAGCCTTGCAAAGATATTCAGGTACTGTATGCTTAGTGAATACATTGAAAAAGCCCATACAGACCTGGATTCATTCATTTCTTTGTCACCAATGACAGCCTTTGGTTAGCTTTGTTGCACAGCCTGAATATATCCTCATATGCTAATTACCTGAAGTTCCTTGACGATCATGAAGCAGAGCAGGCGGTCTAGTCCATTGAGGCCAAAAGTACCCAGAGTGTTCTGGATCTCAGAGAACAGCCTGTTGTTCGTAACCTCGTGGTGGCTCCTCAGGTCGTACCAGGTGTTCATCTGTTCGATGTAGCACGTAACCCTGTGGAAAGGATCGCCGTTTAGTGAGTTCGCACATACATGTACAGTTATTCTTCTAATATTTGAGGAGACTAACTTGGGATCCGTGATGCGGAGGATCTCTCTGCACAGACGCCCGATGAAGGTGGCAGACTCATCCACGGAGGGAAACTTTGGGATGGGAATGTGGGTGGACTGGTGCACACTCTGCCAGTCCTGGATCTGATTGGAAGCGAGGACAGAGCCGATGAATCGACTCCCCGTTCCTTATTGACTATTGATGCACTGGCCAGAAACCCGCACAGAGCATGCTAGTGTGTGGAGCCTGACCTTGGTCCTGAGGAAGCTGTTGCATTCCTGCTCCACGTTGTAGTTGATGATACGGGACACTTCCTCCTGCCAGATTTTAAGGCCGTAGATGCTGACGTAGTCCTGGATGTACTCAAACGACCTGTAGAACCCATCCATGGTGGCCCCCATTTCCTTCAGCTTGGGCATCAGCTCACTAGACTGAGAGTGTGGAAGATTCTTGTTTAGTCTCATCGTTTTCATTTTTCACTGCTGGTGTCCTTCGAGGGGTCAAGGACACAGGGTCGTAAAGAAAGTACATAACACTGAGCCAATAAAAAGATGTAAAATGTAACTGCTAACTGTGATTTTTTTTGGCTGCTGTCCTTGAGAAACCTCTTCGGTTCTATGAATAATTCATTGACTTGAAAATAAATGGCAAAATCTGGGTAGCCCACTGTAAAATATGTATAAGTATTGAAGAGAACAACAAGTGGCAGATCTGAAGACTGACCTTAGCCTTGAGGTTGAAGATCAATCCTTTGTGGAGAGCATAAGCCACCCTCTTCACCAGCTCCTTCCTGATGCCGTCCTCTAGAAGCTGCTTGGGATCCACCTGTGTGTTGGTAAAGTACAATTCACCAGTGACCTCTCATTCAACTGCACTGCGGCTGACGTAGCGACCATATCTGCGCATGCTGTAACCAAAACTAATTTCATTTTACGGTTTTATCATAATGCTAAGTCCAAATAACTGCATCGCATCATCCACCTTAATGATCCCGACCAGAGTCGTCTTCATCATCAGGATCCCCTCGGTGAAAATGGAGATGTCATGCGTGAGTTTTGCCACCTGCAATCAGAAGAATTAGAAGGACGGAGAGAATCCAGTTGATTAAGTAAGTCCGACCTGCCAGTATTAGAGTATTAGAATGAGCTCAGAATGCTCTACTTCAACTTGTACGTGGAGAGATGAATGCCAGCAGACAGTGTACCTAGCCCGCTTAAATAGAAATGTTCCATGTTGTTTCATTTTAATTTAGAAACTCTACTGAAATCTTCAACTATAATAATCATGTTTGATTTTCTTGGCATATGACAAAATTGTAAAATTGTAAACATCAGTCTAACACAATTAAAATGAATGAGGTTGAAGTAAAACTCGAAGATTTTTTTCTGATTTGTGTTCACATCAAAAGCTTCTAGTTTGATAAAGCTGAGAATTACAACAGCCCCAATGTTGAATCTTTGGTGCTAATCTAATATTCAAGTAAGCTTTTTCATGACTTCAATGACATTGTGAAGCACACTCCAGGAGCCAAAGGCACATTGTCAAGTCAACAGCTGCTTTACTTCATAGCGAGCCCCGAGCTGGGCGTAGTCCTTTAGCTTGTCCTTGTCTAGCCGTGTGGGAACCTCCATGATGTCATGGATCTGAAGCTTGATGATCTTGGCCAAAGAGGTAAACATGCTCTCTGGAATAATCTGCAGCACCTGGAAACAACAAGATAAAACAACCAAAGTGAGCACCGGCTAATCTATAACCTCATACCTCTGAGGAGTGCCTTCAAGTGAGAAGAGTCGAGACTGGGCTTCAAAAGCAGATGGCGCACGGCGCTGTGGATGAGAAATCTTGTGGGAACCAATCGTCTATCATAAACTAACATAGGTTATGGTCGACTGAACCAGAAGTTAATCGCGTAGACGTCCACTAAATTGCTGTTTTGGGACAAGATTTGCCAAAACCAGATGCTAGTAGAAACATTAGTCATGCAGGTGTTTCTGCAGCCATCACAATCATTTACAGCATGCAGAGGCCAGAAATCGTTATGAAACAGTTCATTTGTACTCGCCAAAGGCTGACCTCCTCCCTGCAAAAACCTTAACACGCAAGAGC